GAAACTGTGAGTAGCATTTTTAGAAAATTAAGTACCTACAGATTTAAAATATTACTACCTATTTACTATATTACAAATATTGAGTTTAATAATTAATATAGTCGACAAATTCACGAATTTATTATTGTAAAATTCACAATAAAGTTTGTGATCTGAATCTATCTTTTTCATTGAACATAATTTCATATTCTGCATTACGTATCGAACATTTTATACTCTTGAGCTAAAATCACACGCCTACGAATTTATTAAAATTTACCAGACTCAACAATTTATTAATTACTTTTCATTTAATTAAACTAGAAACTTTAGTAACGCTGTTGGTATCATTTACTTCGCCCACTTGTTTCATTACAGGAACTTACTCCGAACTCCAAACAAATATAATTTTCTAAAACTTTAGATTGATGAAGCCATTTATATTTCACGTTGAGGGATGTTCACCCGTTCGTCATTGTATTACAAAACTTAACGTACTCCTCTGCAGACTTTAAATACACCATCATCATCATTAACTAATACACAAACTTAAGATCTCATAAAATTATACGTGGTAGAGCCGTGCTGCAGATATTTTATTTTTTAATAAAAGTGGGCTCACTCTTGACCTCCATCTGGCTCGGAGGCAAAGATGAAATCTACGTTGGAGTGAGTTTATCCAGGAAAAGCTTATTAACACGCACCTTAAAGAGATCCAGGTTATAGGCACTCGGAAACACAGACGCCCGCAGGGTATTCCACTCCTTAGCTGTGCGCATAATAGAAGATGTTTTATGGCGCTTAGTGCGAATATTCGGAATGTCAACCAAGTGTGGATGGTAACCTGCAGTACGTTTGGTACTCCAACAGGTGAATGAAGATATGGGCATATGAAGCTCATAGATATATTATAATTGTAGCACGAATTGGTCAGCCCGGCTGGGAAAGGATCATATTCTCAATAAATACCATCATGAAATAGCAGCTTAACGCTGCTGTGTTTTGTATGGTCGTTGTAGAGAACCGGATACCCTTATTTCCGGTAACGAAGTATTTCATCTTAGTCCTAAAGAATGAGAACTTACAACCAGGTGGCGGTGTGCTCCTTCCATCCCACCACTCAGCAAGTGGACTAGACTTCGCTTACAATTACCACGTCAGCTTATAGCTTTAGGTATTTATCGGCTTATTCTATTTTTACAGCGGATATCCTCAAAACAAAGTCTATCGCGTTTTTTTTTAAATTCGCCTCAAAAATTGCAATCGGAATAAAAACTATCCTATCTTTCAAGTTCAAATCACTTAATCGATTTCTAAGATTAGCGTCAACGAACAGCGTGACATTGAATTTTATATATTAAGGTTTTCGATACGTACACTGTTTTTCCCTGCTTTTCAATCCTCAAATTTGTTTTAGTTTTAAAGTATCTGAATCAAATAAATGAGTATTTCTTTCCTTCATTCACTTTAAAATAAGAGCAAAGTTTATTGTGTCACAAAGCATACGAAGTTTCCAGTAATTCCTTAATTTAAAGTCCCCGGGAAGAAAAGCTAGTAACTGGGAGCTCAAAATTAATTTAATTAAGCGCAGAGTCAGCAAGGGACGCCCTGGACGAAAGTTTATCGACCAAATTAGCGATACATTGGAGAAGGCCCAAATTAAGAGTACACTTCACCGACGAGCATATATGCAGGTATCAGGTATATGGATGTAAAGGAGGCGAGAGAGCTGTGTAAGGATCGTGCCAAATGGACGTCCGTAGTGTCTGCCTACCCCTCTCGTTGACAGGTGTGAGTGTTTATGATTATGATAAGATAATAAATTTTTATTGCCAAAGATATGTATATCTATGTGCCAAGATTTGTATTGCCATTGTTTGTTTACCCGGGACTCGAATCTGCAATAGCAATATTTGAAGAGTGATCTCATGTTTATGTATGTTCGAGAGCAAACAATATCACGCTTGCCAAGACACCGCAGGCAGGATGCCAGGAGATACGTTGGCATATATATTATCATAGCCATGATATGGAACTTTAAAATTATGAACGTTTACAATGTTCGATTTAGAAAGAATTAATGTCTAGAGAGAGACAAAGTAAAACGCTGCAGAAGTGAGTGGCAGACGCAGCAAGACTCAAGTTTACCGAATTGGCGATATATTTATTAAAGAAGACTCAAACTAAGAGCACCCTTGAACCACTACATGAGCGACGAGCATTATGAATAGAACAGAGTAGAATAATTTTTAATCAAAAAACTTAGATTACAAAAATATTTATTGAACGACATTTTATATACACTTTAACCACTAGTTCAGAAAAATCTCTGTCCAGGGAAGAACCAGCAAGAAACCTAGTTTTTTTAAACATTCATTTTGGCACAATTTAATATGTTGTTGGTACAATAAAGCATGAAAACTTGTAGAAACAGCACGCTAGCGATCACCTCATCCTCATCGCCAGGGGTAATTATCAGTCATGTGCTCTTTAGTAATATAATTCATTATTAATAATTTTAATTAATAAAAATTGTGAACTGCTTGATATAGGTCCTGTATATTTTCTGGGACTTTTTTGTAAAAGTACTTTGGAGTCGAATAACTAACTTGTGCTGGGTCCCAGTACTTACCGATTGTACATCAACCAATATATTTGACCAAAGATTGCGGTCGCCAACCCGCTTGCAAAGAACGGAAACTAATGCATATATCCCCGCATAGGCTGATAGTAGGTACTCGTATATATTAGGCGCAAAACAAATCATATTAGGATTACAGACTCTAACCAGGTACATGCATATATATATAGATATATTTTTATACGTTGTAGAGCCACTTTGCAGCTATATTAGTAGTATAAGTGTAGCTCGAACGGGTCGGCTCGACCGGGGAAGGACCACACTCACAGAATACCGGCGTAACATTGCTGTGTTTCGTATGGTGAGCGTGGAGAACTGGAGACCCCTTTTACTGGAAACAAGGCATTCCATCTTGTCCTCACGTGTGACAACGCATCAGCATTTTGATTCGTAGTCGAGGATAGATGAAGATGTCTATGAGCCACAGCAACTTTTTACCGTCACGTGGACTGTGTGTCGTTTGTCACCCTTATCCTATAAAAAAATACACCTAATTATGTGTTGTATACCTCAAGATAATGTGTCTGCTTGAGATACTATCGTCATCATCTGTCGCTGGCTCAAGTTACCGTAAATATCTCCCAAAACCTTCACAATGTGATGCACCAACCTACTGTGAAAAAGTGTTATAAAAGATACCTATAAAAGATAATTACTTATTACTTGATATCGGCAGAAATATAAACGTACGTGTCCATCACCAAAGTAATAAAGAAGATGACATTAGCAGAATTTGTTAGGTACTAGTACTTACTAGTTAAGGGATTGCAATTTAAAAAAAAGAAAACATATTTATTTATTCTTTATTATACACCAAAATACTGAATAACGACTAAAGTTAAATCTAAAGTACATATAATACGTAAAACAGGCGATCTAATCACTCGATCTGAAAGTGATCACTTCCTTTGCGTAGAGAACTGATGCGAACAATAGTATATAGGGGTATATTATATACAATATGTAACGCAATTAACGCACACCCTTTTTTTTTAACGCGGGGGCAAGGACGGGTTATGTCGGACTCGCACCGACTAAAACCCCATGGTGTTCCACCTTCGTCGCATATTGGCAGGGCTACGGGAACGCTTTCGCACACATCCGCGGCCCTACCAGCGACTGCCGCCCCATGGCAGCACCTCCTCGGGAGAGGAATATTCCTCCCCGTTCTCCTTCCCAAGTAAGGCGCACCAGAACACATGGCACGCCTCCTCCACGGCTTCCAATTGCATCTGCGCAACAGACGCCCCCGCGTCCGATGCGCGAAGGCCATGGGGGCCAGGAAAAACGAGCACTTAGAAGTACTAGCCTTCCCGACCCCAGCGGCGGATCTGGTCTATGGCTCCGCCGCCAACCAAGATTCGGCTGCGGAGGATAGGGATAGCGGCGCCTCGCAATACCGACAATCCTCTCCCCCCGCAGCCCCATCATCACCGCATCAACGGTGCGGCCCCGTTTGAGTCGCGGAGGATAGGGCGAGTGGCGCATCGCCATACCAACACTCCTCTTCCTCCGCGACTCCACCTCGGCTGCAGCGGTAGAGGGTGCGGAGTCCCCACTCGCTGCAGTCCACCAGCACACATCCGAAGTGGGCTCCCCAAGCCCACTCGGAGTGGCCACCTCAGGCCGGCCCTTCACCTCGGGCCAGCCACGTGGGTTCCTTCTTTGTTCACCGTGGGAGACCAAGCCACGGCTACTAAGCCCCCCCGCCACGACAAGGCGGGAACCCGTTGGGGGGGGGGGAATTAACGCCCACCCGCAGACATCCCAATTAGTATATTATGTTATAATCATAATACATACACTGAATTTTTAGTTAAACATTTTTATGCACTGATTATTTATCAAATTAGTTATACGAATTCCGGAAGAATGTTGTGGTCACAGTACAAATCCACGAACGCCAAAGACTTTAACGTGCTTGAAATAAAGTTCATTTTTCTTTATTTTTATTGAATGACAGAATTAGTAATAATGCAAATAAAACTGTACTCTTAGAGCTAGCGCGCACTGGTGATTTTTGTCACCGCGACATTAAAGTTTTTGTCATTATCACGTCACCTTTCCAAAGTGGAGTGCGCTCACGAAAGCTGACAGTGACAAAACGTTTTACACAATCGAAGCGTCATTTTCCGATATGATTTCGAAGAGACGGTCATCGTTTATGAACTCATCAGACTCAGGAAGAAAAAGAAAGTGAAAAGAATACTGGGTACACCCCCTTTGAAGTGACAGGCTACTAAGTGGAAAGTTTTATACTATGTTTTATAAACTTCGAGAACATCCAAATAAATTTTTTAAATATTTCCGAATGAGTGTTAGTAGTTTTGACGAATTACTTCGCACTTTAGGACCTGCATTATTATACCAAAATACGAACATGAGATTGTCTGTCCCAGCTGAAGAAAGACTCGCTGTAACTTTGAGGTAAGTAAAAAAACAATAAGTAATTTTAAATGATTTTTATTTCAATCAAAATAACTACAATGTGATTTTAATTTAAAAAGTAAGGATTTATTTAATTATCTTCCGTGGTGATATTGTAGTCCTGGCAAATATCATAAACTTCGGAATCTTCATTAGAGGCAGCTGCAAACTGTGAAATATATGATTGAATAGTACTCGAGGCTGAAGAGTCTTCATAAAGTATCGGGTTTTGATTACGAGCAGATGAATTCGACTGAGTGTATGTAGATGTAGCCAAGTGAAGGTTGTTTTGGGGACTTGGTGGGTTGGGTGGTGGTAAAGAGACAGAATAGTTGGGATTGATTTGTAAATTTTGAGGACTTGTAGATGGAATACTTTGGATTGGAGAAGGGGATAAAGTCGGCTTTGTAGCTATGTGAAGTTGATTTTGAGGACTCGACCGAGGTAGAGACACAGAATACTTGGGTAGGATTCGGAAATTTTGAGGACTTGTAGATGGAATACTTTGGATTGGAGAACGGGGACAAAGTTGGCTTTGTAGCTATGTGAAGTTGATTTTGAGGACTCGACCGAGGTAGAGACACAGAATACTTGGGTAGGATTCGGAAATTTTGAGGACTTCCTATGTAACTTGGAGACGAACTATACGTAGGAGAATAATATCGTTGGGCTCTGTGGGAGTTTTGTTTTTGCAGGAAAAATTTGTAATATTTTGATCTGTACTTCTAGTTTATTCTCCTCCGGGACTGCTTTTAACAATGGCAACAAGGATAGCGCAAAATGCTTTTCCCTGTCGTCGCTATCACAATTGCTTTTATTATTCCTTATAGCCTTAATAACTTGTTATCGTCAACCCTTTTTTATCTAAAATGTCTAGAAGCCTTTCTTCGTAAGGTATTGTATTCCTATTTTTTTTTTCAGGAATATTGGCTTCGCTGTGATACATCTTCATCAGCATCCCTACTATCTTCTTCGCAACAAATGTCCTCTGCGTTGCCGGAGGTCTCTCGAGTGTCCATGCTTGGGACAAGGAATAAAAGTTAGTCAAAATGTTTGTACTTTCTTCTTTTTGTAGCGGCCTGACCAGATTTGGTGGATTTTTGAGCGCGTAGCTCACGTGAAAAACAAGCTCTTAAATTTTTCCACCTTTTCTGTACAACTTTACCTGGAAATAAAGTTCAAATAGTATAAAAAAAATAATTTAGCAAAGAAATTATTAAATTACTTTTCAAAACTCGACAGTTTCTGCTTAAAACGTGTGCGAATACAAGGCATAATTTTTTAATTAATGCATGATGAAGAATTGGCCATACCTCCTATCCATAAAGATAGAAAGACCGGACAGACGAAAAAATTCAAAAATTACCTTGTTTTATAAAATACTGCGCAGCACACGCCCTACTTTTCGGAGCGACTGGCTGAAACTTGGGGTCGGGGCAGAATAAAATGGAGTCTTGTACCATATTGCTAGCTTTCAAAAATATAGCATAATTCACAGGAAATTTGAATTTTACGGTCTTACCCCATCACCGATCTTACCCCAATGCACTATACATATAACACGCAATAAAAGATTTAATGAAAAGAGCACAAAAAGGAAAGTAATTTGTCTAATAGCATTCTAAGTAATACGATTTAACAAGAGTTTTGATAGAGTGAAGAGATTAGCACGACGAATATGGATAACTAAAAAGTACGCCATACAAAGAGAATGTGAGTACCTGCCTATTCCTACGAAGGCAAAACGGGAGCCATTTGGCTCTTTGCGAAATTCAACATGTGATAATATTTGCGAAGGCCAAAAATAAATATAATATGAAAGCTTTATGCTAAACAAAGAATAAATATATCCTTATTAAAAAACGATACAAACATAAATAAATAATGAACAATACAACAATATCATTGGTTTAAAAAATATCATCTCATACGGTATAAAAGGCGTTACGTCCATCCCGTACCTTATTATTACATACACTAGGCTAGGTCGATCCGCGCGCTCGGCGTCGCGCTCGCGCCGTCACAAACAAGAGTGTGGGTGACGAATTGGCATCAGCGCGGCGCATGGGCCATCGGCCGATGTTATCAAATGTTCGCAGCCGCGGACTTCGGTACATAAAACTACTCTAGCGATTTTAATAATAGGAAAGAATGCTTTCATAGTGGGAGGCAACTCAGTAAACTGATAATAACAAAATCGGAGACTACATTTTCGTGGCGCAGTGGCTTAGCAATAGGTTATAGCGCTCAGGGCTGCGGGTTCGAATCCCGCACGAAACAAGTATTTGTATGAACAAGTAATTGTTTCTTATCTGACGATATGAGGTGGTGGGTATTCTTACTCCGCCACTACACGGGATTTTTTCATCAGACTTTTATCAGGTACCAGTAAATATTCACTATTGTTATCCTTGGAATGCATAAGCACACAAGCAAGAGTTAATAGTTATACTAGTCGGCTGCCGTCGCCAAACCTCTCTAAAACTTTAGTAAAATTGATTTTCAATTACAGCTTTTGTTTAAGTTAAGTTTCCAATGTTATATGAACGAAAATTTATTATATTTTTTTTGTTAGTTGTCACTATATTATTATTATTAGCTGACTTCAAAAAAGGAGGAGTTCCTAAAATCGTATTTTTGGATGTATACTACGCGATATCTTATATTTACGCGAACACTATACATTGAATAAAACTACTTTTATAGATTTTATCGCGTTTAATTTATTTGATTTTAATTACCTATATTTCGGGTGCTTTCCAGCACCCATGGTCACGGGGTCTGAGGTGATTAACATCCCTATGTCAGTGTTAACCCGGAGTACCTTCAGCTTTTTAATTATTACTGCTGTCTAATCTCTATTTATTACTTATTAATTATAGCAGTGATATACTTGGGTTTAGTTTAAATTTTATTAATCACAGCATCTCAAGTAGGTAGTAGTACTTAGTCTCCTTCTCTATTGAATTAGGATGTTTTTTTTGAATTTCAATAGTCTAAGGTATTATCCTTGGCAGAAATCCAGGTTCTTAAATGAGGACCTGCCAAATCTGATGTAATGGCGGGGGCCGTCTATATGATTACAAACTGCGAACATCCCAGAACGTTGGTTTATCACGTCAGCTATATGTTCTGTTACTCGGGTTCTAATTGATCTTTTTGTTTGCCTTTTTTTCACAGATGCCTCATGCTCTCAGTGACAAAGATTTGCTCACAGGAGCTAAGTGTGAAAGCTGACGGTGAGATTCAGCATTTAAATATTGGTTTGTATAAGTCTTTTGTCTATACACATTTAGAAAGGCTGAGGAATTTTTTGCCTCTAACTCCATAGTAAATTGAATTTTAGAGTTTATGGAATTAAGACGTACTAAAAATGCAGTTCCTTTATCTGATTGTAAAACATTGAAACTACAGACGCAGTAAGGAGAGCTTTGTCCTCGAAGACCTCCATTAATCTAAAGGTGACGATGGGAAATGTAGGTGAGCCCATCGCAAAACAGCTTGTGTAGTACAACAGAAGTCTAAATCCTATAGTTCGAAGCCACGAAGTTAAATCAGCAAACCGAAGCTTCGAACAAAATCTCCTTATACAAATATATATATATATATATATATATATATATATATATATATATATATATATATATATATATATATATATATATATATATATATAAATAAAATACCGTGTCCAACTACTACTTATGAATTTAAAAAATGTGATTTGTTATTTATAATAAATGTTTTATTACAATTTGCTTAGAAGTTAGCAAATTTATGATCTCCATGGTTGGCGACAATATCTTTGAACGTATTTGTTACCTAATTTATGACGATATTTGTTACCTAACTATATATCTATCCTATTACAATGTTACTTTCCATACGTTATTAAATCTTATTTAAATTTTTTATAATTTTTTTATTTGTTTCCTAAAATATTACAAGTGCAGAATTATAACACAATGCCTAGAAGCACAGTCACGAATCGGGAAGGTTTCTGTTACATATTGTATAGAACAAGCTCCGTACTACTAAAGGAATCTTCCTCGCTCCTCTGCCTGAACGCCTCGCCCACCGAGAGATCTCTCTTTTTTCTACAACGACCAAATAGTATTAAAAAAGAAAACTTTATAAAATATTACCAAGGAAAACTAAATAACAGGAGATACAAAATATCTGAGAATTTGTGTGAAATCAAATTAAGTTTTTCAATCAATTAATTCTTACGTGATAAAGCCACGCTGCAACCATATTATGTATAGTTGTAGTATGAATGGATCGGCTCAACGCTCGGGGTAGGACTACGCTCTCACAGAATATCAAAGTAAAATAGTAACTTAATGGTGCTGTATCTCAGATGATTAGTGTAGAGAACCGGAGACCCTTTTTACTGGAAACGAGGCATTTCATCTTAGTCCTCACGGGTGACTTCGCTTCTAAAAAAACATTTAGGGAAGTTAGTGGGGGATAAATCAGTATAATAAGAGGTATTATTTGAAAATACGAATACAATAAACATACCCATATTACATATTATGTATATATTACACCTAGATGATTGCAAAACTTGCATTATAAAATATAAAGACATGTCAATCAATATAAAATTACCCTATTTACGTATCTACAGTACCTAACAAATCTTTATTAAACCACGGCGCACACCGAGTGCGATGAGCGATACGAGCGCTAGTATGGCAACGTCGCATCGCTTACCCCCCCGCAGTATCGCTTTGGCATCGCTCGGAGAGGCCGCGTCATGAGCGCCAGAGAATACCGCGAGAAACTAATAGACGAAGTAAAAAAGTACCCAGTTCTGTACGACACGTGGCACGAGAACCATCGCGACATTGACGTGCGCGATCTATGCTGGACGGAGATATCCAAGCGCCTAGGAGTTAACTGTAAGCTTTTTGTGTACCACCAACCTATTGTAGACTAAATATACAACGCCGTGTTTGGGATAAATTAATGTCCTATGTTTTTAAAGGCATACTCATACATAAGTATATACTATCTTCACTGTAAGATAAAACTAAATTAAAGCAAAATATCTTAAGTACAGTGTTGAATGAAATGACTAAAATTATTGACTTAATAATATATAAATCATAATATGGTAATATATAAGTCAATGTAATATGTTGTATGTCATACAGACGGCGTGGTAGATCATTGGATAAGCGTTTGGCTGCATTACTGCGAGACGCAGGTTCGTTCCCGCATCGTGCAAGTGCTTGTATGACTTGTCGAAGTAAGAATACATGCGCATTGGACGTACACTATCACCGAATACAACAAATTTTACAGAATTTATTGCGTTTAATTTAACTTATTTAAACTCCGGTAGTTTCGGGTGCTTTACAGCTCCTATAAGTTAAATTAAACGAGATAAAGTTTATAAAATGAGTTTTATTCGATGTCATGTATTCATGTCACACGATCATTTAGGTAAAATGTTGGAGTGAGTGCAATACAACACACAAACTATACTTTGTTTTCTATTTAGGATGATAACGTTTAAATATTATCTTACTACTATCGCCATCTAGTGGTAGTAATAGGAATATTACTGTTTAATCTCGCATGACCTGCTATAAACTTTTCTAAGCATTCACTGAACTTGCAGATTAAAATACTTACTTTGTAAAAACATTTTTTTTAATAAGAATATCAAAATGCTAGGTATAAATTTAATTTCCGGACACCTTCGTAGAGGGAAGAAAGGAGACGGGTTTGCGGGAACTGTAACTAAGCCGCACCCGCGTTGAGTTTTACTCCTGTATCGTGGAGTTTACATACACAAATATTCACGAACACAAACATCTAAAACTGAAAAAAATTATTTGTAGGTCATAGAAATACCCGTTCCGTGCGGGATTAAAACTCGCGGCCATCAGCTTCGCAACTCATTGCTAAGCCACTAAGCCACGGAGCCGTCAAGTTTTCAAGTACATATATATTGGATATATTATTTTGGTCACCGTCGTAGAGAGAAGAGATGGGAATGGGGGCGTAAAATTCCCACCTTTAGCTCCCCCCGCCCAAACGTATTATTTTACTTTTAAGTTATTTTTTTGTTCTGTTAAATCGTAACTACACATGTGAGTTAAATGTTAATCTCTTTAAATTACACTGAGCACCGTTATCAGTGTTTACAATTTTAATGTTATCTTTATCGGAAATACGATTGCATCGAGCAGTATCAGCGATATTAGGTTGTGGTGCGGCATTTATTTATGTTTACCTGCATGTACTGTGTGATGACGGTGTAAGAATATCCCCCCACTCGCCCCACTCGCCCCATGAGTGTCGCAGGATGCGACAGGAAAGGTAACAAACCAGGCGGACAGCAGCGTCTCTCTATAGGCAATCTATGGCGAACTCTGTTCAGCGATGGACGTTTTATGGGGAATATATATATATATATATATATATATATATATATATATATATATATATATAAATTATTAAATAAGTGCAAACCCAAACAGCTCAAAAAACATAAGTCCCAGGAGGAAGTTATTGCTAAGTGTCCCTAAGTCCTAGGATTTCCAAAGTCTAAATTTTGACATACCTCCACGGTTCAAGGTCACAAAGTCGGATGCTGAGTGTTTTTACTATTAACAGGCTCCGAATATGGTTAAAAAAAATTAAAATTTTCCTTATTTTCCTACATCATATTTTAGATTCTCATTCAACTGAGAAGTGAAAAATATGGATGTCCCGGGTCGCATACATTTTTAATCATATGATTAATTGTATTGTTTCAGCTGTGGTTTTAAAGCGCGAGTGGAAAAGCCTCCGCGACTCCTTAAGACAAGCACTTAAAAAGAGCAGAAAAGGCGCCACCACCAAATCTGGTACACCTTGCAAGAAGTGGCGGTACCAGAGCCGCATGGCTTTCGTATTACCCTACATGACCATAAGACGGTAAGGTGTAATTATATTTTATTTTCATGGTGATATTTTTTATAAATACAAACGAACTTCAGTACACTCGATGGTAAGAAGCTGCAGCCTCTTTACAACTGCACCCTATTTCAACAAAGAAGGCTATGAAGATGGAGTGCCTTTCAGCGTATCTTCATACAGGGGAAATAGATAAGAAGATGGTATATAACAAGACAGATTCTATTATATTTCAGTCTATTAAAGTCCATTGCTGAACATAGGCCTCTAAGGATTGCCATAGATTACCTCATAGGGAGTATTTTGCCATAGTTGCCACACTTAAGTAAAATTAGGAATCAGATTTAACAGGCAAAAATAAGTGTTTTGTGTGACTAAAAAGCATGAAAGTGGTCGCTATGTCTATTTTCGGTCAATAATCAAAATCCAGATGCATTGTCACTCCCGAGTTCTAAAATAGTCCAATGAAGCTATAAAAGCCAACTGGTATGTTTTCTGTGATGTTGGTAGAATCATACCTCGCTGACAGGATGACCCTACCCCAGTTGAGCCGACCCAACCACTATATAACTGCAGCGTTTTTCTACCATTAATATTCTAATATTATTTCATATTATTTTAAGACATCAACGGCCAACCAAAGAAGATATCAAAATTGATGAAACTGAAGTGCAGTCAGAACCTGAACAAGAATGCGAGGTCTGGGACCCAGGCAGCTCTGATCAGGACTCTTTAGAGCTGTTCTTTGCTAGTGTCTGTCAGAGCACTAGAAGATTACCTAAAAAGTTTCAGAATCAAGTGAAGAGACAAGTTCTCGATGTGCTTTTGAGGGTTGAGGCAGAATGTGAAAATGAAACAAGGGACTCTAAGACGGGATTGTGAAAGCTTCAATTTATAACAAAGACAATAATTGTAAAAAAATATAACTAAAATTATCATGTGGTACCACACCCAATCATTCAAGTGTTGATTCGTCTTACGAACGAGATCATTCGGGTCGTTCATTTAAATGAATTGTTTCGAGTTTCAATACTACTGTGATCTGTAAGACCCGATCAATAATTTCGGGCGTCGGACATTACAATACTCTTTGGTCAATAGGTCCTGTCTATCGTTTCATCTGGAACGTTCAAAAATGTAATTGCAGTCATCAATACTTTGATTCGAGCCGGGTCACATGAATGAATTATTCACGATGTCTAAAGTATATGAGATTCCATTACCTGGTCCGTAAGAAGCAACTTGGGGAAATGTTGAGGTCGAAGGTGCAGGAGTTCCACTGTGGTGTCTTAAACGTCGCAAAGCGAGGCGACCATGACAAG